AAAAAAAAAAAAAGAGAAAGAAATAAAAGAAAATATGTACAAGGATTTTACTGCAGGAATGTTCATGATATCAGAAAAATTATTTTTCAAAATTGTTTTTGCTATTCAGGATCCCCACATCATTGGGGCCTCTGCCTCCCTGTGGCAGTAGGAAAACAAAGGTAATAGTGGTCGGAAAGAAGGATGTGCTGGAAAATGCCACTGGCAATTCAGTGAACTTCAAGTGGGAACATTTCAAAGTGTAGATTTGTAGGAAGTAAGGATTTGGCGTATGAAAGTTTTGTGAACTAGTAAAAATTTCATACGGACTAGCATTAATTAGAAAATTGGACTAGGTATTCCCCAAGTCCCCTTCAGACCTGAATATTCTGTTGTTCTTACATATTTAAGCTTTCCCAAGTGACTTCACATACTCTCAGTTACTATGTAACAAACTTGTGAAGTTGAATAGTGGATTCATATTATCTCATTTAACTCCTGGAGGAGTGGTTCATGCAAAGAATAATATTAACTGGGGGGTGGGGGAAGTAGTTAGTGTTCTTATATCTAGATGTTCATAGAAGTAATTCTGAAACCTACTTTTTCTAATTTCTAGAGACAGAATAATGTAGTAGTTAAAAACTTGGACTCTGGAGTCAAACTGCATTGTTTTAAAACCTGGCTCCTCTACTTATTAGCTTCATAAACCTGGCAAACTACTTAACCTCTCTGTAAACTGGGAATAATAAATAACAGTAGTTATCTCCTAGGTCTTGAGGAGTAAGAGTGAATTTAGGTAAAGCACTGAAAACATCAACAATGAAAATAATGTAAATTACACAGTGCGAACTGGTAGGTGTTAATTATTACTAACAGAATGACTTCAATCCTAAGAGGAACAAATGACTCACGGTGCTTTAAAAAAAAAAAAATGAGAGGCCAAGTTATCTTTAAGCTTTTCAAAATGAAGGAGAAATTTAAAACAACAACAACAACTCTTTTTCTCCCTACCACCTTTCATTTGCTAGCTTCCCCTCTGAATTCAGAGGTTCTTAACTGGAAGGTGTAGAAGCCTCTGACTTAGGTGGAAACAGCTGAGGCAATGTATTTTCCTTACCATAATGTTTATGACCTGTCATCATCACCAGCTGCTGAACTTTTTTTCAGGTTGGACGGCAATTAGAAGCTGAGCAGGCCTACAAGTACACGAAAAAGGTATGACATAGATGCCTTTGTCATTTGCCTGCCCCATGTTGAGGGTGGGAAATTAGGAGGGAGGTACTGGCTTAATTCAGGACTTTCATAATGTTAATATTTTTTCTAGAGGCTTTTCTTGCCATCTTTGCCATTATCAATGGGCTGCTGGGTTTGTAATAATAACCTACATATTGCCATGGGTGATCTTTCTTCCAACTCTTGAAAGAATATATAATAGTTAATAGAAAGATAGCCTGGGAGTCAGTCAACCTGAATTATGATTCTGGTTTTGCCATTAACTTACTGTGTTGATAATATTGTGAGCTTCATTTTTCTCATGTGTAAAATGTAGGGGTTGGTCTAGTCTAGGGGTCAGCAAACTTTTTCTATAAAGGGCAAAATAGGAAATTTTGGGGGATTTGTAGGCCAAACAGTTTGTTGCAACTACTAAACTCTGCACTTGTAGTACAAAAGCAGCTACAGATAACACATGAGTGAATGGCTGTGTTCCAATAGAATTTTACTTACGAAAAACAGGTAGTGAGCTAGATTTGGCTCATGAACAGCCCCTGGTCTGTTTTATGTTACATATACATACATATTTTGAAACAGAGTCTCACACTGTTGCCCAGGCTGGAGTGCAAGAGCACAATCTCAGCTCACTGCAACCTCCACCTCTGGGTTCAAGCAATTCTTGTGCCTGAGCCACCCAAGTAGCTGGGATTACAGGCATGTACCACCACACCTAGCTGATTTTTTGTATTTTTAATATAGACAGGGTTTTGCTATGTTGGCCAGGCTAGTCTCAAACTCCTGGTCTCAAGTGATCTTCCCACCTCAGCCTCCCAAAGTGTTGGAATTACAGGTGTGAGCCACTGCTCCCAGCCTGTTCTATTATTTATGAATCCCAAGTAACTTGAAAGACAGTGGTTTAAACAAATTAGTGTTTTCTCATCTAATGAAAAGTCCAGGGCTGGTACCACAGCTCCATAATGTTATCAGGGACCCAACATCTTCTTTGTGCTCCACCAATTGTAGCATGCAGTTTCTATCCCTCACAGTTGCAAGACAGCCAATGTAGCTTGCTGTCATGTCCATGTTTTCAGGCAAGATAAGGAACATTAAGGAAAAGGGGCCATGCCACTTCCCTTCCCTTTAAAGGACTTTACCTAAATAAAGGGCTTCTCCAGGTGTTCTACCCAATGATTTTAGTTTACATTTCATTAGGCCACAGTTGATCATATGACTACCTCTAGCTGCACTGGAAGCAGGAAAATGTGGCTTTTTAGCTGATAGCAATGCTACCTTGAAAATAAATTAAGATTTTGTTAGTAAGAAAGAATGGGTATTCAGTAGGCGCCTAGATGTCTCTACTACATATCTAGATTCTAAAACTAAAACCAGATCTAATACAAGCCTATTTCCTGATTCCCTGCTGTCATTTGCCAAATGGGAATACTACACATTAGTCAAGAGACGCTGGTAATAATGTGAACACTTTTTAAAAACAAAAAAAGTAAACTTTAATCAAGTTATCTTACAAAAAAATGTACAGATCATGACTGTTCATAGTGCTTGATTAATTTTCACAAAGTAAACATATCCACGTATCCAAGACAAGGTTCTAAGGTCTTCTAGTGGAGTTTTCATGAAGTAGGGAATAAAGAGCTAACTCCATCCCAGGGAACTATGTTCTTTAGCTGTAGTCCCACAAAAGAGAGGTCTTCAAAGCCACATAAAGTATATCATTTATGACAAGTGTTTTTTCCTTTCTTCCTCTTTTCTGTAGCTGAAATTGAAAGATGAGGCTTTGCTTGCAGAGATCCACACAGTACAGGAAACCGTTGGCTTTGGAAATCCATCTTTCTGATACCTCTCCAGCTGAACAATTTTCTATATGAGACTCTGAGTTCCTTTCCTTCCCAGAGAGTTTCACACCATATGAAGCCTGGAAATGGGCTGCTGGGTTTGTAAAAATAACCTACAAAAGAATCTTCACCATAAATAGAGACCCATTCATTTCTTTCCATTGGCTGTGTTACTGGATGTTTTACTGGTTGATAAGAAACTGGGTCACAATAAAGAATGAAAATATGAAACTCAGAATTCATCAGTGTGGTTCTGGAGTTAAGGTATACTGAGTTATTTATAGGTATTATATAAATAGCTATATATAGTGTAATTGCTCTAATAATTATATGGCACATGTATAACATATAATAAAATGTGTATACTGGGGTCATTATTAGGGTTTCTGATGAAAGCTTATTGGATCACTCCTGGAGAAAGGCAGCTGCTAAGATCTCTGGCCAGACAGGAATGAAGGCATCATTTTCAAAGGTGGCCCTGGAGGAAGATTAGGGCAAAGAGCATATTAGCCCTTTGGAACTAACAGTGAACAAAAAAGCTGAACAGAGAGGTCTTGGCTGAAGGTGGAGCTAATGGACACCTTCTCACCAAACACAGGCATTTTCATGGATATAAACCACTACGGCTCTAAGGAGACACCATTACCCTCAACACTGAGGCCATTACTAGGGCTACAGATGTTAAAAAAAGGAAATCGTACTTCACCTCTGCCCAGGATCACAGCATGGAAAATGTAGGAATAACCCCTCAATTTTTTTAAGGTGTGACTGCCTCGATAGGGGTGGGAGGATCATAGGAGGAAAGGTGAGATGTAAATGTTTTGGTTAACGAGAAGGATAAACTCTAGTCACTTATAATTCTTCTAGTCTCGGCCCTGACGCTACCTCCTCTGTGAAGTCGTCGGCAAGCATTAGGTTTGCCTTCTCTGCTCTCCTTGCACTAGTTTCTCTGCTGTAATCTCACGGTCTCCCCAGCGGACTGTGAGATCCACGAGGAAGAGAGAGCGCCCTTTCATATTTGCGTTCTCAGCGTTGCGCCTCGGCACCAACGCGAGCAAGATGGATGGATGTTACAGCACTCCTCTTGGCGCGGCTGTGTTTGGCCCAATTCTGACTCCGGCACTGACTCACAAGCCTGAGAGGGATCGCACCGCCACTCCCACCAGACACCACCAGAAACGCCTCTTTTGCAGCAGTTTAAGGTACGTTAGGGGTCACCGTGTTGCATCGTGGGAAGTGTAGGGCAGCAAGCGGAAGAGGCGGGGCGAGCGGATCATCCGCTTCCAGAGTCAGGCTTTCGGGCTTGGATAGCCGGGCGGTTCGGATCTGTGTCTACATGTCTCGTGTTTGTGTCGGTCCTCTGCCCCGCCAAGGCCGTATTGTTGGTGCGCGCGGGTAGCGGGGCGCTCCAAGGAGCCGCACCATGGTCCACCTCAGTGAGTTATTGGGCCCCCGCGAGACGTTCCGGGCGGTCACGGGGCTCGGGAGTTTCGGGGCCGGGTGAGGCAGTGGTCTACCTGGCGCGATGGAGGGAACCCAAACCTGAAGCAGCCACACTACCTTACATTTGATCCTTCTCTCAGTTTTTTTTCCCCGCTTAATCACCGCTGAAAAATCCCCACCCCACTGAAGCAGCTAAGGTTCCGACAAGGTCACAGAGCTAGTGAATGGCAAACCTATGCTGAGCAGGTTTGGGTATGAAGAGATCATTGCTGGCTGGAGTGGCCAAGAGGTGTTTCACAAAGAACAACGGTATCTAAGCTGAATTGACAGGAATGGATTGGAAGTGAGGACATTTCAGTGGAAAAAGGGAATTGTTCCGTCTGTGTCATTTTGCCCGTTTTGTGCTGTTCTTGTGTCCTAACCAGGTGTTTTTCTACAGATACTCTCCTCTGCAAGGCCTACCATGGAGGTCATTTAACCATCCGCCTTGCCCTGGGTGGCTGCACCAACCGGCCCTTTTACCGAATTGTGGCTGCTCACAACAAGTGTCCCAGAGATGGCCGTTTCATAGAACAGCTGGGCTCCTATGATCCATTGCCCAACAGCCATGGAGAAAAACTCGTTGCCCTCAACCTAGACAGGATCCGTCATTGGATTGGCTGTGGGGCCCACCTCTCTAAGCCTATGGAAAAGCTTCTGGGTAACGAAGCTCTGGTCTTACCTTATTGAGGGGATTTTAAACTGAAGTCAGCTCCAGGACAGTGGGTATAAGAATGATTTTTCGGCCGGGCGTGGTGGCTCATGCCTGTAATCCCAAAAATTTGGGAGGCCGAGGCGGTCACATCACCTGAGGTCAAGAGTTTGAGACCAGCCTGGCCAACATGGTGAAACCTCGTCGCTACTAAAAATACAAAAAAATTAATTAGCTGGGCGTGGTGGTGCCTGCCTGTAGTTCCAGCTACTGGGGAGGCTGAGACAGAAGGATCGCTTGAACCGAGGAGGCGGAGATTGCAGTGAGCCAAGATCATGCCACTGCACTCCATTATGGGCGAGAGAGCGAGACTCCATCTCAAAAAAGGAAAAAAAAAAAAAAAAAAAAGATTTTCCTCTTTTCTAGGTTGTCCAGGACTGAAGTGGGAGCTGAAGTTTTGATCTAATTGGCATTTTGAATCTGGAGATCCCGTTTGTGGCCTCCTTTGTAAGACTTTTTGGATGACTGGTATTTTATGCTAAAAATGGGAATAGTGTGTTTTGAATGGCCATCTGTCAGTTTGCCTTTTTTAAAGTAAGGGGAATACTTTTAGGAAGTAGACATCCACTGTCTCCTTGCCAGGGAGAGGTAGTACAGAGTTCGGCAAGTGAGGAGCATGGTTTACATCCATACAGTGGGTCAGATCTCAGACCTCCGTTCTGTGAGACAGAGTTCCTAGGGAAGCATTGGCTTATACTGTATTATAATAAGTGAAAAGTCTGTTGCTTTTAGGTCTTGCTGGCTTTTTCCCTCTGCATCCTATGACGATCACAAGTGCTGAGAGACTGCGAAGGAAACGGGCACGTGAAGTCCTGTTATCGTCTCAGAAAACAGATGCAGAAGCTACAGACACAGAAGCTACAGAAACATAAGTGAGCTGACTTCAAGGAGCATAGCAGTGGGAACAAGGTCAAGGTCCTCTTGAAACGCTGCAGAGATCTTACTTTTGTTAGATTTGGAGTTCAATAAATGGAGTATCCTGAGTTGCCCTTGCTCTTCTGGCCTGGCCTGCACAGGGCCCAGGGAGAGATTTGTTCTTGTGTGATGTAGAGCTGGGTGTGGGTATTAACTAGCTTTTTTGGACTGCCTTGGGAAAGACAGTGGCTGTGGGAGGATTGGATTTTTGAATTGGGCTCTGGGTCTTCTGGACAACTTTACAATCTACTGGCTTCCAAGACTTCTTGCTTCAAAACCTCCAGCCAGATTATTCATGGCCCATTCAAATCTTCATGTTCTTCCCTCAAGTGCAAGAACAGTTACCTTTCTTACTGATTTTGTAATTGGAGAATTATATTGTCTTGCTTAATGCATATTCCTTTTTTTTTTTTTTTTTTTTTCTGAGATGGAGTTGGTCTCTTGCCAGGCTGGAGTGCAGTGGCGTGATCTTGATTCACTGCAGTCTCCACCTCCCAGGTTCAAGCAATTCTTCTGCCTCAGCCTCCCAAGTAGCTGGGAGGCACCCACTACCACACCCAGCTAATTTTTGTATTTTTAGTAGAGACAGGTTTTCATCATGTTGGCCAGGATGATCTTGATTTCCTGACCTTGTGATCTGCCTGCCTTGGCCTCCCAAAGTGCTGAGATTACAGGTGTGAGCCACTGCATGCATAAATATACAAAGGTAGATTTGTTTTGCTTTTGGGCTATAATAACCTACCTTTTAAGAATGAGAAACAGCTGGGTTTAAGGGAGTTCAGAATGAATCAAGACTGAACCATTTAAATGTGGCTGTGGTTTCTGCATATATTATGGATGGGATCCTTCTGAGAATACTGGAATAGGGAATTATGACACCAAGCCAATTCAGCTGTGAACCTTATTCTCGTACTTTTCTTTCTTGCTGGTAATTTTATGGAGCAGGTTAAGAAAGCTGCTCTGTGTTAGGATAAACTGTGTACCAGTAATTTTGAGAACCTGTGATGAGTGATGCATTTTACTTGTATCTTTTCCTTCCTACCTTGATGCCAGTAATGTATAAGGGATCTTTATAGTTTGAATGTATTTGAATAATTTCAGTATCCTTTAGCTCTACTTTTTTATTGGACTCAAAACGATTCATAGGTCTCAAGTAGTCACATGTGTTTTAAAAGCCTGAAGTCAATGAGATGAAACTCAACATCAATAATACGAAGTAACTTGTAAATAAATAATGTAAGGAACTCATTGGGGCAGTGGCTCACACCTGTAATCTCAGCACTTTGGGAGGCTAAGGTGGAAGGATCACTGGAAGCCAGAGTTCAAGACCAGCCTGGGCAACACACCAAGACACCGTCTCTACAAAAAATTTAAAAATTAGCTGGGCATGGTGGTGATCACTCATAGTTCCAGCTACTCAGGAGGCTGAGTCACTTGAGCCCAGGAGGGCAGTGCTACAGTGAACTGGATTGTTCCACTATAGTATTGCCTGGGTGACAGTAAGACCCTGTCTCAAAAAGAAAAGAAAAAACATTAGGTAGTTTGGCTGGAGCATAATAATTAATTAGATTTTCTGGTTTTCAAAAATGTGAGTTTCAATAAAAGAATATTTCAATGTGCTACTTCAATTTTCAGTAGCAAATGTATATATAGAAAAACGTTAATGTATGTGAGTACCTTAAAAAACGTGAGAAACTGGAAGATAATATTGTAAAGCATCTACATATACCCTAGGTCTTTTGTGTACACAGTTATTTGTGATGATTATAAGGTATTATGAAGGCAGGTAGGATTATCTCCATTTTACAGTCACGGAAGCTAAAGCCTAGAGCTGGAAACTTGTTCAGTGATATAAGATTCATACCCTGGTTATGCCCTCCCAGAAAGCCCTTCCCAACATATGTTGTCCATACAGGGAAAAAATGAGCAAAGATAGGTGGCTTAACTCTGGTATGTGAGTAAGATATAGGAAATTTATAGAGGAGTTTCTCTCAATGTGCCAGCTTATTTTGTTCTCTGTGTTTTATATTCTGAGAATGATTACCAGCCATCCCAAATTCTGTGGTGGTTACAGCTCCCCTGGGGTTGTTGCTGGTTGGCCCCCACTTTGAGACTGATGCCAGGGCAGGTTGAGAGGAAAACTGACTTTAGCTGGGTTTGATCTTGGATCTGGGAAAGAGATATGCTCTGAAAATCATGGCAACTCTGGAAGGTTAAAAAGATATTAATGTATCCTGGAGAGTTTGAGGCTTTGCAGAAATTTACTGGCAGAGCAGAATGATTCTGAAAAGTGTTAAGTCAGTGAGGGGATATTTGATATTTTCTGCTAACTTGGGTATTCTCTGAGGTATTCACTTTGCATTGCTTATCCTTTGTCTAAGATATGTATACACATACTTCCTTTGTGAGCTTATCCTACTTCCAGAGTTTTCTCCCCAGCCTCAGCCTTGCTTTGGGTCTTCAGGCCCAAGTTTCTCCCCATGTCTTGGGTGATTGCTCCCACCTACCCTGCTGCCAGCTGGGATCCAACATGCGCAAACCCAGCTGTGAACTAAACAGTATTAAAAGAAAGAGCCTTTGCTTCAGCAGTTTATGTTAAGACGGGGGCTTGGGTCATCTTATCTCCACTAATGTGTAAGATGAAAGTCCTGTTAGATAAAAGAGTTTTTTATCTTTTTGGAAGACCCATGTTTTGTGCTTTTTGGGTTTCAGTATAAGGTTTTCCTGCAGGGCTGCAGGGAAAGTTCCCCAGCATTTCCAACCAGTGAGGTGCAAAATTATTTGGGCCTGTAGCTCTACCTATTACTTTCACGATCATTTTTGAAAAATCACATCTGTTAAGCTGAACCATGTGAAACTGCTAAATGCTGATGTTTTCTACTTAAAAAATAGGCCAGCAGTTTGTAAATTCAACTTAATATATGAACTTTTTGAAAAAGCTTTTCTGGGAAACTAAAAGGAAAATGGACGCCAGATTTCCAGAGTAAGGGGAGGAGGGACCCGAGCAACATCTCTTCCCTGTGAGACCTGGCTCCTGCGCGCGGCCCGCTATTTGGATTCCACCCGCCGACTCTTACCTTGGCCGGCGCCGGCCTCGCCACGCCCCATTTTGCGGCCGCCGTAAAGAGTGGCTGCGCGGCGTGGCCACGCCCTTTCAGCGCTTGTTGTGACGCAGGCGCCCTAGGCTTTTTGAGCGGGAAAAAGAAGCAACCCTGAGTGGTAGCCGGCGGTGCCGGGAGCAGCTGCTTTCTCTCGGGCCGTATCTCCCACCCCCGGCATGGGGCTGCTGGAGCTTTGCGAGGAAGTGTTCGGCACCGCCGACCTTTACCGGGTGCTGGGCGTGCGACGTGAGGCCTCCGACGGCGAGGTCCGACGAGGCTACCACAAGGTGTCCCTGCAGGTGCACCCCGACCGGGTGGCCGAGGGCGACAAGGAGGACGCCACTCGCCGCTTCCAGGTATGCAGGATCCCGCCCCGAGGCCGACAGGCCACCCGGGCCTCCTCAGCCTTTTGGCTACCGGGCCCCGCCCGGGGGAGCGCACTGAGCTGGTGTTTGCGCCTTCTCTTCCTTTCTCCTGCCGCGGTTTCGGTGGGAGGAGCAGGGATGACTTATGGATACTCTCTGCCCTCAGATCCTGGGAAAAGTCTATTCCGTTCTCAGTGACAAAGAACAGAGAGCAGTGTACGATGAGCAGGGAACAGTGGACGAGGACTCTCCTGTGCTCACCCAAGACCGAGACTGGGAGTCGTATTGGCGGCTACTCTTCAAAAAGGTAGGAGATTCTGTAGGTTTCTTTGTGACTGTTACCATCATTCGATCAACAAACCTTTATTGATTGCCTCTAAGGTCTTGTGTTAATTTTGTAGGAATGAGGAATTTTGAGTTTGGCCTTGAAATATAAATACACACTTACTGAAACAGGCTTTTTATTTCCTGTTAATGTGATTGTTTCACTGAAAAGGGCCGATTTATTTTTTTGTAGGATACACTTTATTTTACATATCCAATTGTAAGTCCTGATTCCGGGTCTACTTTCACCCTTGGAAACTTCACTTACATTTCTTTTCCCTGGTCCCTAGTTAGCAGTTGTGAAGACTGGGCTTACAAAGGAGAACTCCGGAAAAGCTTAGGCATAGAAAATCTGGTTCAACAATTTCAACTCAAGCAACTGTTGTATTACAGCAATTCAACACCTAACTCTAGTTTTATTCGTGTACCTTTTATTTAAAGTAAAACTCCCAAAGTTAAAGCAAATTTCCTTTATTATCAGATATCTTTAGAGGACATTCAAGCTTTTGAAAAGACCTACAAAGGTTCAGAAGAAGAGCTGGCTGATATTAAACAGGCCTATCTGGACTTCAGGGGTGACATGGATCAGATAATGGAGTCTGTGCTTTGCGTGCAGTACACAGAGGAACCCAGGATAAGGAATATCATTCAGCAAGCTATTGACGCGGGAGAAGTCCCATCCTATAATGCCTTTGTCAAAGAATCGAAACAAAAGATGAATGCAAGGAAGAGGAGGGTAAGATTTTGAATACTGTTGATTTATATCTTGACTGCTTCCAAAAACGATTTGAGAGTATTTATAGCAGTAGAAGTAAACATAAAGCTCCATAAATAATGACTAGGGTTAACTTGGTCTAATAGCTTTCATCTAATAAAAGGACATACCGGGGGCACGCCTGTAATCTCAGCACTTTGGGAGGCTGAGGTGGGTGGATCACGAGGTCAAGAGATTGAGACCATCCTGGCCAACATGGTGAAAACACCATTTCTACTAAAAATACAAAGATTAACTGGGCGTAGTGGCACGTGCCTGTAATCCCAGCTACTTGGGAGGCTGAGGAAGGAGAATCGCTTGAACCCGGGAGATGGAGGTTGCAGTGAGCCAAGATCGTGCCACTGCACTCCAGCCGGGTGACAAGAGTAAGACTCTGTCTCAAAAAATAAATAAATAAATAAATAAATAAATAAATAAATAAATAAAATGGGCATACCAGTTCATCAAGAGAAACTATTTTTCTAGTATATTGTGCTCACGATGATTTTTATTGTTTATTATCATAGTAAAGTAGCACCGAAGTCTTTTTTCATATGGGCCAATTCTTGTAGCCTTACTGAGGCATCCCTCAGGAGATAAAGTTAATGGAGCCTGGATACACAGGACAGGCAGTGATCCTTATTCGGTTGAGGGGTAAGAAGAGAATGGCAGAGACTGTCTTGTTAAAAGTGCAGATTTGGGGGCCTTTGCCAGAGTTTGATTCTTGAGTTGGATACAGAATTTTTTTTTATTTTTTTTATTGAGATGGAGTCTTGCTCTGTCACCCAGGCTGGAGTGCAATGGCGTGATCTCGGCTCACTGCAACTTCTGCCTCCTCAGTTGAAGTGATTCTCCTGCCTCAGCCTCTGGAGTAGCTGGGACTACTGGGGCACACCACCACATCGGCTAATTTTTGTGTTTTTAGTAGAACAGGGTTTCATCATGTTGGCCAGGATGGTCTCGATCTTGACCTTGTGATCCACCTGCCTCAGCCTCCCAAAGTGCTGGAATTACAGATGTGAATCACCGTGTCCAGCCTTTTTTTTTTTTTTTTTTTTAAGAAAAACTTTAGCTTTGTGGTCCCCAGCTGTGCCAGGGGTAAGGTGAGTTGGGGGCGTGGTTCAGGATGAAACCTCAGATCATCAGGCATTAGATTCTTACAAGGAACACACAACTTTTAGAACCATTGCTGCCTTCATAAGTGCCCCCCTGGAACTTGTCTGCAGCTTTTACATATGAAATGCACAGAGAGAAAGCTGACCTTTTTGTGGGCCTGTTTTGCCTAGATGGCTGCACCCTCTCTGGTGAGGGGAGCCATGGAGTGTATATCAAGATCATTTTGGTTAATAGGCTACATCTGCTAAGACTTAGGCTGACAATTACCTTAAGTTCATCATTTTCTGAGATGAAACGGCACAGCTGCATTCACAGTAGACTGTTAGCTTGAGAAACTTCCCTAGAATTTGAGGAGAAAATGGCGGTTTTGAGAGACTGTTCAACAAACGTGAAGGGAATGCTGAATTTAAAGAGATAATTTGAATACAAGGAAACAGTGTCGTCTTATAGGGATGGGAGGTCCTAATGTATCATCATCCCCAGTATTAATTTCATTAATTGCTACTTAGAAAATTCAAAGGGGATGTTGGGGCCTCTTAAGTTGTTGCCCCAAGAACACCTTAGTGTGTTCTTTTGTTCTTAGTGGTATTTTGGAAATAATGTCCTAGGAAAACTTGACAAAGAAAGGCTGCTTTGAAATCAGGTAAAGAAAGGTTAAAACTGAGTCTGCTGATGTTTCTTCTGACTACTCAGAAGTCATTTTAAACTGGGATTCCCAAGGGGATTACCAGTCTAATATAGTAAATTGGGTTTCCAGAAGAGGAATTGGAAGTACCTGTATCCTAGCAATTGCATCGTTTTCCTTACTTTTTTCATAGTTGTTTTTAAGAGATGACATCTTACTCTATCACCCAGGATGGAGTGCAGAGGCATGATCACAGCTCACTGCAGCCTTGAACTCCCGGGCTTAAGCTATCTTCTTACCTCAGCCTCCCTAGTAGCTGGGACTACAAGCACACGCCACTACACCAGGCTTATTTCTTCTATTTTTTGTAGAGATGAGGTCTTACTATGTTATCCAGGCAGGTCTCAAACTCCTGGGTTCAAGTATTCTCCCACCTTGGCCTCCCAAGGTATAGGGATGACAAGTGTGAGCCACCATACCCAGCCTCCTGTTCTTTTTTATAACAATGTGATTTATGAGTGCCAAATTACTTACTACCTCTAGCAAGTAGAATTGGGAAAAAGCGAATAAATGGTAATTGGAAACACAGGATCTACTGCTTGTTGTCAGCATTGTTGCCTTTTACTAAATAACCTAATTAGGTAACTTTATTCATTTTGTCTATTCATATAATCCTCATGTTGAAACAATATTATGGATTTGCTTTTGGGAAAGAGAATGTATTTTAAACATTTGCTGGTTGCCCTGAATCTCATGTGAGTTTCTGTTGCAGGCTCAGGAAGAGGCCAAAGAAGCAGAAATGAGCAGAAAGGAGTTGGGGCTTGATGAAGGCGTGGATAGCCTGAAGGCAGCCATTCAGGTAAACTTGGCAGTTTATTGCCACTTCTTCCTTAATGATTTGAAACCTGTTGCTAATATTTTCTTTGGAGTGTTGTATTTTGTTTTCTTCTTGTAGACAAATAGAATGCCATCTATTCGTCCTTTTCAAGTGTACAGTTTGGTGGTTTTTAATATATTTACAGAGTTTTACAGTTATTAACACCAATTGAAGGACATTTTCACCACTCCAAAAAAAACCTCCGTACCCATTAGCAGTTACTCCACTTCTCCAGCCCCTGGCAACCACTCAGTACTTGCCATGGATAGTGTTGTGAAAGCTTGTGTTTTAACTTCTCAAACAGAGCAGACAAAAGGATCGGCAAAAGGAAATGGACAATTTTCTGGCTCGGATGGAAGCAAAGTACTGCAAACCTTCCAAAGGAGGAGGGAAAAAATCTGCTCTCAAGAAAGAAAAGAAATAATGGAATTTTTCTCTTCAGAGGTCCTTAGGTGTAAATTGATGCTATCGTAGGCAAGGTGCAGCCAAGATTTGAAGGCAAAAGTCAGCTCAACTCTTGAGAAAAGTTGTCTTTCCAGCCTTAATTTTTCAGATAGATTAGACCAAGCAGAATCTGTCAACCTGATCTTAGTATTTCCTAGAAAGCACCTGACATTGTGAGGTCTCACCTGAAGGAACTTGGTGGTGACAGTTGGGAGGGTGGAGGGAGGCAGTGTCCTTCCTGACAGAACTTGCCTCCATGGATCTTCTGTACATGGAACTCTATCTAGAATGTGGTTCTGTTCATGCTGTTTTCTGTGATGTGTGTGTCTGTTAGAATAGGCTCTCTACCCGGCTAGAACACCTTCCAAACACTTGCTGGAATAGCTGCCTTCCATATACTTCCCAGTTTACATTTGGGCTTAATGATCTTGAATAGACCCTCTATTCATTTTACTCAGTCAGGTTTTGTACTGATGTACAGGTGTTAAATTACTTCAGGCATTTTTGTAAGAATTGTATATGATTAAATAAAGTGATGGTTAAGTTCTGGGGGCTTTGTAAATGATCCCAGTAAAATGTGACCTAGAAAAATATGAATGGTGTTTAGGATGAGAGAGAAGGGGAAAACAGTAGTCCTGGTCAGCTTTATAATAGCCCGGTTTCCATAGCATGAAGAGATGTATATTGTAGTCCTGCCACTAATTGCCCAATGTCTTTAGTTGGGCCACTGAGCTTGTCTGAATCTGTTTCCTCATTTATAAAAGAGTTATTACATTGAAACAAAGAGTGAAATCCAAACCTGTCAATTGTATGTATTAAATATGTCCAGCTTTTTGGTTAAAAAAAAAATTGCACTGGCTTTGAGGGAAAACACACAGGGTGAGGGAATTGGGCTAAATGACTTCTTAGAGGCCCCTTTCTGACTCTTTAACTTTGAAAGGCAAACCATATTGATCCAATTATTATAGTGAACTCATGGTAATGGTTTGTGAGAACATTACAGAGATCTTCATTTCTATTTAGATGAGTTGGCATGAGAATATATGGAATTTTTTTTAGGGACTCTTTAAATCTTTGAGTTGTAGACTATGAAATATACCATATGCATAAAGTAACCCTTTAGCTATTGAGCCTTATATATCATAATTTAAGGTAAACATGTATGACACATTTTCAGTTTGTGACTACAAATAGTTTAAAAGTAATTTTTAATTGTATTAAAAATATAACTTAATGCAGGTCGTTTGAAGCATCTGTTTTCATATGATAGCATTAGAACACCTTGGTATAATAAAAAGTTACCCTAATTTATGATTATTTGTATTTATCTTTTCTGAAAATTAATAAGATCTAAAATTGGCATGATAATCAAGATTAGTATTTTAGTGAAATTTAAAATAAATTTAAGCCATAGTTAAAACCATTGCTGCATTCATGAGTGCCCTTAGGAAAAGGTCCACAGTAAAATCAGAAAGTCAAACCTCTCCTCCTCCATACCCATATCCTGCTGTCTATAGAATAAGTTTATGCTGGATTAATTGCCAGGTTTTCTTAAACTTTTAAGGAATTATACTCTGGTGGCTCACTAATAGATTCTACAAATTATTTTTTAATTGACTTCCTTAGAGCTGCAGGAGAATATCTGGCAAGGTACATTTAATATTTGGAAAAAAGATTTGACCAGTAACATACTTTAGTAAGAAAATAAGCATAACCTGGCATCAGGTAGGCATTGTAAGGTTGAGCTGTCCTATCTGAAAAAAAATGCAATATAATTTATTACAGAAGTTACTTTACACCAATGCTTAACATATGTTTTTAGGTACACACTCCTTCCATTTTAATATGCTGATAGGGTAGGACATCTAAAGAGAGCTTTAGAAATCACATCAATTTGATGAGGTCAGATTTTTGACAGCAAAATGACTTAAAACTGAGTATAACTCTCCAGAAATGAAGACAAGCTGAAGTATTCTGAAGCCAGTAATATTGTCACTGATCATTTGCTGCTTTTTGTGTATGTGTGACCTCATCAAATCCTATATAATTGAACTGATCATTGTTAAGAGACAACATGAGCAGTGATTTGGATATAATTCATTGTTGCATCTTTGGGTACAAACTTTCCTTTCCAATGGAATAGATTAATTTATGCTGAAAGAGACAGTAACTGGAGGTAGAAACAACACTCATGTCATTTTTGGCAGATAATGCTGTTTTGTTCTTCAGTCACTTGTGCCAAAATCACTCTTCATGAAGATGGTTTCTAATCAATCTTCTGTACAAGCTCTACATCACTTGATGACAACACTGCTTCATGAAATCTCGTGTTTTCTGCAGCCTGATAGGTTCTTCTCATTTGCCTTAAGGTCCCTGCCTGGTTCGAGAGACTGGTCCACCTCTGCTTTGAGATTTTGTAGACCCATGTAACTGAGGACCTGTCAGATGACATCACAGAGTAACATTAGTAGACAGTCCAGGTTTGATAATAATCAAGTTTATAGCTAAGGGCTTTCTTGCTCCAATTATGAATTGGACTTTCTTAAGGTATGAAAGCAGTAAACTAATTTTGCAGAAGAGCCCACTAATTAAAAAGAACTAAGATGTCTGATTCACTCACTTTAATATTACATTAGTTATACCTGACAGTGTGGCAGAAATTAAACAGCTCAAATGCAGATATGAAAGCCGAATCTGACGAAAGCATTTAAAGACTACCAAACAATGCTACAGGGAACTGGCCTGAGAAATCACTTGGACTACAAAGATTGTTTGAGGCAGACTAGTTTTTACTATAGTTGCAGATTAATCTTATTAACAGGAAATATCTCAGCTGTCCATTACTTCTAAATGTACCTTTAGCATAGTACGAATGACCCTGATGTGGTGAGAAGAGTGTCAAAGGCAGAATTAAATATCCCGCAGCCTGGGCAACATAGCGGGACCCTGTCTCTACAAAAAATAGCTGGGTGTGGTGGCACTACTTGTAGTCCCAGCTATGTGGGAGGCTTAGGTGGGAGGATCCCTTGAGCTCAGGTGGTTGAGGCTCCAGTGAGCCATGATCATGCCACTGCATTCCGGCCTGGTCAACAGAGTGAGACCGTCTGAAAAAAGACCCCTCTTTGCTGGAACCGAGTCATTTTGAGTGCGAAAAGAAAAAAAAAAAAAAAGACATCCCTCAATTTCCTCCCATCACTTCTTTGTTAGTACATCTACAGAGTATAATTTGAAGATAAAAAGAATTAATGGGGATAGCATCAGACTCGGCATACTGTGATGGTTTAGAATTTCATTTCTTACCTTGGCCTAACAGATTAACTGATCCAAGCAGTTTAATCCATAGGAATACGGATTTTGCCTACATAATAAAATCCATGCCATGTTCTAAAAGAATATTTTGAATGTTATAACAAGGACTAATTAGGGTTAAACTTTTTGGATTAAAAAAAAAGCAGTTTACCAAAGTAGTGAGAATTTGCATGGTATGAAAAAAACCTGAAACTTTCTGGCTCTGAGCAATAGAACTTTCCTAGCTTTTTATTATACCCCATGGTCCAAAATGAATTTTAGGTGATTTACAAAGATGTGGGGAAACAATAAATCCAAGAGAATCTGAAATAGGTGTAGGAAAAAGACAAAAGCTGGGTCTTAACACATCCACACAGTAGTAAATAAGGGCCATGACCCCACCTGTACCTGCAGATCCCTTACCAGGTCGTGCGTGATGAGGATACTCAACTGCACATGAGCGGTGATACTGTGTATCCAGCTAAAAGAGAAAAGAGGAGACACTTCTTATGATGCAGCTCCTCCCAAAGGATAATATTTTAGCAGGTTCACAGGAAAACCTTGAAATCAACAGTGTAAAAGGCACAGACTACCAGCCTGACGGAAAAGTCGGCTAAGTGCACTGTGTTGAATTTCAAGTAGAAAATCCCAAGCCAGATGCGCACAAAGCCATTTATTAACTTGTAAAAATTGCGAATTCTTCAATGTTATTACTATGCTGTTAAGCTACTTGCTGTGTGTGTGTGTTGTGTTGTTTTGCCTCTGAACCTGTTTTTTTTTCTTGTTTTGAGATGGAGTTTCGCTCTGTTGCTCAGGCTGGAGTGCAATGGTGTGATCTCTGCTCACTGAAACTTTCACTTTCTGGGTTCAAGCAATTATCCCATCTTAGCCTTCTGAGTAGCTGGGATTATAGGTGTGTGCCACCACACCTGGCTAATTTTTTGTATTTTTAGTAGAAACAGGGTTTCACCATGTTAGCTAGGCTGGTCTTGAACTCCTGACCTCAGGTGGTTCGCCTGCCTCGGCCTCCCAAAGTGCTGAGATTACAGGTGTAAGCCACCATGCCCGGCCACAGCTAGCATTCTTAATAAATTGAACAACTAGCTATCTCTCTTTTTATGACAGCAAATGGGGGAGAAATGGTAATTAATTTTTACTTTTTTTTTTTTAAACATATGAGAAAGAGAAGACTTTGAAATGTTTTCATCTGTTGAATTTTATTCCTAAGGCAACCAAAAATTAAATGTTTT